ACGAAACTATATTGAATCTCTAACAAAATGATTCATTTCTATAAACGCAACCACATATTTTGTTTTACTTCCAAAAAAAATCTTTGAATCATAATATTTTTTACACAGTTAATGATCTCTTTTTTTAGTGAATGATTTTGTACTTCAAATCGTGTTAGCCGACCCCAAACTCTTTTAACAATCTCTTTGTTAGTGAACGCATTAAACATATATTCAAAAATCCACTTTTTTCGTCAAAATTGGAGAAAACTTATGACATTGGAAGCAGTTTGAACATGCTGTTTTACTTCAACTTGTTCATAGAAATCTGAGCCTTTCAAAGTAAACTATTATCCTCTCTCCATCCCGAAATAAATAAATAAATAAATAGGGACTACCATTTTCCTGAACTTTTGGATGCCTTTAAATTGATTCAGGCAGACACGCCGATTCTTGGTCTAGTGGAGGCTGGCAAGGGCCGCATTGCAGTATATGGAGACTCAAACTGTTTGGATAGCAGTCATATGGTTACCAATTGTTACGGGCTTTTGAAGAAAATACTAGATTTTACTGGCAAAAGTAATAAAGATCCCATACTGTTCTCTGATTCAGTTAAACAAGACAAACCATTGTACATGGACGAGAAGCTATTACCATCCAGACGGACTGATGTGAACTTTTCTACCTATTCTGCTGTTGTTGGAAAGGAAATGATCTGCAGACATGACTCTCGGTTTGAAGTATGGGAAACTAAAGGCTACAATTTACATGTCAGGGGAAGAAACCGCAGATTACCAGGCTACACTGTTATTGATTTGGGCACTGGTTTAAATTCTTCCTCAGAGAGCTCATGGATGGAAATATCCAACACAACTAAAAAGAAAGGTGGTTATTCACCAAGAAGCAAGGACCTGGATGGAGATGATGTAATACTTTCTTGATTCTCATTATTGTGTTTTATTGTCCATTTTTTTAACATGAAAGGCTAATGTTCAATTCCATCTAATTCCTCTCTTACATTGAGATGTTCATGTCCCTATTGTGCTCTATGCTATCAACCTAATAATGATTGTCTTGTTGAGGAGTTCTGAGGGGAAGTTGAGAGGGTAAGAATAATATTAGTTTTACTAATTATATCTTTATTTATTGGTTTTATAAGAACTAACTGTCTGTTTACTTAATAAAGTCATGTATCTCTCTATAAGTTTTCACATGTTTCTCTTCTAACCAACTACTGTAGGAATAAATTAACAAAATAAAGTTATCACCCCCCACCCCCTAAAGCCGACTTCTTATGTAGCTTTAATTGATTTATCATTCATTGTTTAACAAGGAATTTTTGTTTGCAGCAAGATGTGCATGTTCCTTTAGCAACCCATTGGCTTGTTCCTGTAGGTATTGCAATTATTGGTAAGTTGGAAGAATTTTGGGTTTTCCGGGAAGTGTTTTTTTTTATTTTACTTTTTTCCTCATTTATTGAATCAAACTCTTTTAACTCTGCACATTGTATTGTTAGGGGTGTTGCTACTTTTGAGTCTTTGGCGCGTTCAACAGAAGCGGGGTAGGCGGAGGAAAGTATCTTCTGGTTCAGTAGGTCGCTTTGCTAATAATGTATAAAGTAATGCTCCCGCTTACATTTTTCGTGCATTATCTTGACTGACAAAAGAGTCAGGGCTGCCACCTGTCACCATGCGAGTGACACAAGCAAGGCGAGTTTTGTATCACAAACGAATGCCTAGAAGTCTTTCCTGTTAGATTGTTCGAGAAGAGGTGTAGAGCATCAGATTTGTAGATGTAGCTTACATGATATACCAGACATTCTTCTTCATCAGTAGAAAAATAGCAATGCGACTCTTCCTAAAGATCATTGGTAGGTCAATACGTTATAGTGTTTCTATTTTTTCTCAATTTGTGTCAACCGAGAATCCGAGATATTCTCAGGTTGTTTCAGCAAAAGTGTTCTCACATAACCCATTTTCCTATTATTTTTAAGTTTGGCGTAGAAATTAATTTTTGGTTATATTTTGCAGCTTTGTGGAAAACGAGTGTTCGTCATTTGAGGAACACTCGATTTAAAGTTGAGTATCAAAAGTGTCATTTACAATATCAGAAGGATTAAAACTTATGTGGGAAAGATTCAATGTCGAGGATGAAAATGTCATTTATAAAATATTCGGGGATAAAGTGTCAAAACCCACTCTTCAATTGGTTAAGAAAAGTAATATTGAGAATCATTTTGAGGAAGTGGAAGTAAGCTAAGGGAGTGTTTGCACTTCAAAAAAAAGTGTTTTTTAGCTTTTGGATTAAAAAAAAGTTGAAAAGAGTGTTTTCAAATGATAGTTTCTGCTTAAATTAATAACTTAAAAGAAGTTGGAAGCAAGTGGAAGAGTACTTTAAAGTATTTTTCACTTTTTCTATTACACAAAAAACATTTATTTTACCAAATACTGCCAATTTTTACTGTTTCAAAATCACTTTTTTCTCAAACACTACCAACTTTTACTATTAAGTACTTTCTCTAAAATCACTTTAAAAAAATCATTTTTTTAAAGTAGAAGCAATCGCAAACATTCCCCAAGTATCAGTGTGTGATGACCAGTGCCCTGAAAGATGGTAAAAACGAGAAAGCATCGCCTATAGAGCAGACTCCTCGCATATAGAGTAGGCATGGACCGGGCCCGGGGCGGGCCTGACCGGCTTTTTTGTGGAAAGTTGAGGCCCGAAACTGGCCCAGTTATCCACTGGGTCCGGGCCGGTTGAATTTTTTTTTGTTTTTCTAATTAACCCCCGACCCCCCCGACCCAAAAAAACACCCAACCCAACCTAGGAAAAACAAAAACAAAATTGAAAACCCCCCGAAAAAGGCCCGAATCAGGCCCGGGCCGGCTGGGCCGGTTCCTATTTTGACTGACCCGAACCCGCCCTATGTAACCCCCGGGCCTACCCGGACCGGCCTTTGGTCGGGCCACCAGGCTAGGCCGGTTCTAATAGTGCTGGGCCGGGCCAGGCCGGGCCATGGGCCGGTCGGCTCGAAACCGGTCCATCACTAATATAGAGCATCGCCTATAGAGTATAGAGCATACCTTTTCCGAATTAGGAAGTGGGTTAACTTGTAAGAAATCATTGTATAATTATCTTATCGATGTTATAATTCATGAAATAGGGGTTTTTAATTCCTAAGTTAATGGTGTCTTATATGTATGGGATGTGTTTTGACTTTTGGTTCTATTTTCTCTCTCTTGAATTCAATTATTACTATTTACTCATTTCATATGACCCCGTTTCATGACACTAAATTGGCTGATTTCTGCTGAAATTTATGAAGTTCTAGTTGAATTGGTTGATTCTGTTGATTTATGAAAGAATTACACACAAAATATATTTTATTGATAAAGTAAAGAAAAACTTACATGAAAATAGCTAAAATGATCCTCTACAGTATCTTTAAACAATACAGGCACAAAAGTAACTCCAACTTTGTTTTTTCTTATGATTACACAAATCAGCGTGCAAAATCAAAAGTTACGTATTTGGTCATGGATAAAACATCAAATATATTGATCATGAATATCCTTCAAAAGAAGGTCACAAATTCAAGTAGGTGGTATATCAAATCAAAGATAATCAGGCTCAGAAATAGCTTGCTTAGCCAAAGCATAGCAACTCTATTCGTTGATCGTCATACATACTAGACAGAAATATCAGCACCTAATTCTATCATATCTCTTATATCAGCACCTAATTCTAACAAAGTCTCATGAGAGCAACCTCTCGATCACTGCACACCTTGAACTGCTAGCAAAGCATCTGACTCAATAATCACATGCCTCCACTCTTGATGCATAGCCCACTCCACAGCTTCGCTGATAGCCAAGAACTCTGTAGTCATTGCTCCCATACTCCCAACCAAACTCTTCCTCATCCCCGCAATAAAATTCCCCTCTTCATCTCTAGCCACTAAGCCAACACCCCTCCTCATATCACTCTGACCTAAGGCTCCGTCCACATCTATATTTATATATCCTCTCTTCGGCTTGCTCCACTTCTTCTGATCTCTCGTATTAGCCTCCCTTATCTAATTTTTATGGACTTCCTTCCATCCATTCAGTACCGTTGTACGCACACAAGCTCCAGCACATAATCACAAACACTCCAGCCTCCTCTTTAGTCATACGGTCATACCTCGTAGTTTATTTCCCGCCCAATCTGTCACTGAGGTACCACCTCCTGACTCCTGGCCTCCTATTCCTCCATAGTGATCTAGTCATAGTGCAATCCCGTACACACAAGTTGAGTTTAATTTGGGGTTCCAACAAAAATAGTTCAATTTAGGTTTTTCAAATCAATTTAAAGCGTGTTGTCTACAAAAAAAAACATGTTTGAATCTGCTTTTAAAAAATATTTCGATTTAGGTTATTCAAATCAATTTAGAGGGTGTTGTCTGCAAAAAAAAATCAATTTAGGGTGTTCGAATTTGCTTTTTAAAAAATAATTCAATTTAGGTTTTTTCAAATCTATTTAAAGTGTTCGTATCCACTTTTTAAAACTGCTTCTACTCATTTAAGGAACAAAAATATATACTAGAGTATCTAAATGAAAGTGCATAAGTACTTTTAAGTGCCTTAGGGTTGGTTTGAAAATGTTTTTAAAAAGCACTTCTCAATTTCTTTGCTTAAAAAAACTTATTTTACCAAACACTACCAACATTTGTTTTTCAGCTTTCATGTCAAATGTGTTTTTACTTTTTTTATTACACAAAAAACACTTATTTTACCAAACACTATTAACTTTTACTTTTCAAAATCACTTTTTTCTCAAACACTATCAACTTTTATTTAATCACTTCTCTCCATTTCATTAAAAAAAACACTTTTTTAAAGCAAAAAATGTAGCAAAACAGACCCTTAGAATTGCTCCTACAAGCAAGTTTTTAGAATATGAGGGAGGCAAAATTTGATTCACACAAGCAAAATCAATTAGAACATCCTAATCTTTAGCAAATAGAAAGCGCCGCATCATCATGCACAACACTTGACTTTCCCCTCATTTATAGGAAAAGGAATAAACATAAACTTAATATCTGTAGAAAGTAGATACATAACTTAATTTGGTTTCATTGCAATAAAATGACTAAACAAATGCCGGGTAATAAATCATTGCACACTAATACATTTACCGAGTAATAATCATGGACTACTTTCTACTGCTACAAGGGCTTTAATAATAATCCCCAATAAGAGTGGTAAAGATCTGCGGATAAAATATATTTAGAATGCGTATTCTGAAGTCTATTCAGTTCAACCTGTTGGCAAAGAGTGATGTCAAAGCCCCAAGAAGAACCATATCTACTCCATACCTCGCATTGGAACCACCATATGTTGTCCCTGGGAGGGAAAACAAATGCAGCTATTAAACATGGTGGCAGTAGGTGTGGAGCCTCATACGCACAACAAAAGTTGTACACCTAACATAGAAACGAGCCCACCAAAATCGAAAAAGCAATAAACACAAGGCCACCTAGAGGTCCTAGACCATTTAAATTGAAGACAAATGACAAAGGGCCATCAATTGTGTAAGACTTTGTAAGGAATACATAAAAATGAACACACATGACTGAACACATGTATGACTTCTTTTCGATGTGAACGCACTGGGAACCCCTTCGTAGAAGAAATGTGTGGGTGTCATCTTTAAACGAGTACTATCCATTACTTATTTGCAGCGGAATTGAATTGCACACAATCACACACTCGGCAACTCCTCAAACAATGATCACTAAAAAATCAAAGAGGAAGATTTTAAAAGCATATGACCCTAAAACACAAGTAAGCTCTTTTCACATTTCAACATCAATGCAGAGAGCGTAAAACGGAGCACTGTATTGGATGTATGCCAATCAGCCAAAATACTGAATATTTTAAGAAGAGGTTATTTAAACAAGAAGGTTAACATAAAGCTAGAAATCAAAGGATGGAATCAAATGAGATAAAATATCCCCTTAAACATGTTTAAGATCAAAATTTCACACACAGATCAAGTATTAAAGTTCTTGTGGAGAATAAGCACTAGTAAGCTACGGTAAGATATAGATTTAAGAGATAACTTTCCCTATTTAATGTGCAAGAAACAATATTTAATAGATGTATTTATATCGCAATGCTATAACTCTAGGGGTCGGACTTAAGAATATGGTATAAAAAGAGGAAATTTGGAAGCAAAGGAAATACTTGATATGTCAACTTATCAGGTTAAGATGTTCTCAAACTTTGATTTTTCAATAATTTGGATTACATATAGAATGTGAAATCTAAATATACATAAAAAAGTCTGCTAAAATGTTAAATTCCTACTTATTTTCCGAGTTAAATCAAACATCAAAACCATTTTCTCTTGGTTTTTTATTTCCCACTTATTTTCTGAGTTCCAGATTTAGCTCTTGCAATGTTGTGTTTCATAAACTAACCAAATTTTGAAGTGCAGTAACATATAAAATATGGGGAAACCTGTAAGTTAGGATTATGTTGTCCAGCATCTCTGGCAGAGCTATCAGCGGCCTTGGCGGATCCCTTTGTATCACCCTACCAATTAAAGTAGTTGTTTAGCGCTAATGAAATATATTAAGAGGGAGAGAGAGGGTGGGAGTTTGGGAAAGAGAAATGAAAGCTGGAATGCAAAGCAAAAGTGACTAACCTCCATCTGGAAAACGCATTGATCCAACAGGAAGATAAAAGCATACAAAACAGAAATGCATTAGTTCATAAACCATGAAGTTATAGACTAATGGCAATATTTGCAACACAAAATGCAACATTCATGTGCAGAGAGAAAGATAAATACCTCTCTGTATCGAGTGAGATACACCTTCAGAGGCTCGATATAATCTTCAAATCCTAAAGTCGCCATTGACCATAGCAGATCATCACCGTTGATAGTTTTCCTTTTCTCCTTTTGGCATTTGTCGCTTGCCCTAAACCATTTGAAAATTACAATCAGCATACATTCACAAAACACATCCAAGTGAGCAGATTTATAGAAAACCCGTCCTTCTACGGTTCTACCATACGCAAATATAAGCAGAAACAAAAAAAAAAAAAAAAAAACTTTAACACACAGGCACCAAATTGAATTACCAAACAAGCATTCTTTAACCAAGAGGAAAAGAGAAAAGAGCCCTAGAAGAATCCGTACTCGCTGGTGACGAAGCTAATGAATTCGGAAACACACTCCTGGACGGTCTCCTTGGCATCCTTAGCAATTTTGCCGTTAGCCGGAAGGGCCTTCTTCATGATCCGGCTGATATTCGCGATGGGAAGGAACTTATCCTGCTCCCGAACATTCGACTTGGAGCCGGGGCTGTGGTCCCCGCTATCATGGCTACCGCCGCCAGGGCTTCCCGGAAAGGGAAATGGAACCTGACCGTCCGCCATAACCACCGGCAGATGAACCCTACAAACGCCATATGCCGAACAAATTACGCTGTAAATAGATAAGATCACAGAGAAGTGTGCATATATATATATACTAGTATAATATAGGAGGCAGAGAAACGTGAAGTACACCTGAAAATTAGAGAGTGAGAATTTGTATATGGGCGCGAGCGAAGGGGATCGAGGAGATCGGACGCTGGAAAAGTGGGGAGAGGAGACGACTGAGATGGGAGTTTGGAGTTGGGATTAGGTCTATCGCCACCGTTGGTTCTCTCTCGTTCTTTCCGGGTCGGTTTTGGATTTATAAAGATGAGTTGCAAATTTGCAATTACTCTGGTAAAGAAGGGCCGAGTTTATCAAATCAATCCAATAAGGGGAAATTCATAAATATGAAATTCACTTATTCATTACATCTGTTTTCAAATTAATAAATAAATAATCAACATATCAACTTTTTTTCAAATAAATAAATACTATATCAACTTTTTTTCAAAAAAATAAATAAATAAATAATCAACATTATACGATTAAATATTAATGTGGACAATATATTCTCATTAAGAGCATATCAATATCAGAGACTTTAATCTTAAAAATATGACAAATGTCAAATAAATAAAAAGCTTTACGACCCACATAATATAAAGTGATGTGACTCGATATTGAAATACAAAAAATGTTAGAATGTATTAAGTCTCATGTCTCAAGTCAAGTGCTTATGTAAAACTAACATATACGGAGTATTAAGTTAATAAAGTATATTTTGTTTAACGAGTTCTTGATTTCCGTTGTATAAAAAAGTATATTGTGAATCAACGAAATACTTATCGCTTGACGCATAAGAAATTCTCCATTTAGTTTGATAGACACCGGAAAAGAGTTGATTAAAAAATTCCGTATTTTTAAAAAATTATAGGACACTCAAATTTGAATTTAGATAACTTTCTATTGAATCTTGAACACTTCTTTTTGAATCTAGAATACTTCTTTTCAAATCTCTGACACTTTTTTCAAATCCAAAACACTTTCTTATCGATTCATTTGTGACATTAAACACAATTTTAACTTTCTCCTTCGAATCTATGATAGCATCACACCAGTAATAAGAGACAATAGACCCGGAGGGCCGGAGGTTTTTGAAAAAGCTTTGATTGAAGGTGATACCCTCCCTAAATTGTAATTGTATCTCAGTTTCACTTTTCTTTTGAGTCGATTTCAACTTTGCTTTCACTATCATCAGTTTCACCTGTGTTTTTACTAGAGTCAATTCCCTAAATAGGACTAAAAAGTGGCAAAATTGCACAAATAGGACTACATTTTTTAAATTCCCTTAATAGGACTATTTATGTGTGTTTGGCCAAATATACCCTTGTAACTTGTGAAATGTTTTAATTAATAATAAAATCATACAAAAATAATAAAAATCGAAAAAAAATACTAAAAATCGTAAAAAGATAACAGAAAATTAATAAAAATATTTTTTTTAAAAAATTAAAAAAAAAATATTTTAAAAAAAAATAAAAAAAATAAAAAAAAAATCGTAAAATTAAAAAAAAAAAAAAACATTACCACCCCTGCCACCCCCCAGCACCACCAGCTCCCATCACCGGAGAAAAATATGCCAACATTTTAAATAATGCCATAATGATGGCATATTCAATGAAAATGTTGGCATATTGAAGAGTAATTATGCCATCTTTTTGGCATTTTCAGAAAAAGATGGCATTTTTTTACCAAAAGTGGAAGAAATTTCACCAATCGGAGGTGGTGGTGCTGGGAGGCGGCGGATGGCGGTGGAAAATGTATCCATAATTTTTTTCATTTTTTATGGGTTTTTACTATTTTTTATTATTTTTTTAAAAAAAATTAAAAAAATAAAAATTAAATTTTTTATTTTATAAATGTTTTATAAATTTTTTATAATTTTTTTACGTTTTTTAAACATTTTTTACGTTTTTTTATGATTTTATTATGAATTAAAGCATTTCATTATGAATTAATACTCTTAGGGGTATTTAGGGTAGAAAATCTATGTTTAGTCCTATTTAGGGAATTTAAAAAGTAGTAGTCCTATTTGTGCTTTTTAGGAACTCATTAGTCCTATTTAGGACAATTTCCGTTTTTACTATCATCAATTTCAACTTTGGTTTGACTCTTACTTTCACTTTTTGATTTGACCCTTTCACCTTTGGTTTGGGCCTCAGTTTCACTTTTGGTATGATTTTGAAGTGAAAGTATTTTGCTACTATCTAACAAGACCCAAGTTAAGGCACTTTCTAATATTAAAAGTAGACCTGGACTCGGGCCGGTTCGGGCCTGGGCCCGGCCGGGCCTCGGGCCAGGATAGTTGGGCCCGGGCCCGAACCGCCGGTGGGCGGTTCCGGTTCCGGTTCCGGGCCAAACCGGGCCGGGCCGGGCCTAACCGGAAATATTTTTTTTTTTTTTTTTGGCTCTTCTATTTAACCCCTAACCCCTCCCCCTCAACCCCAAACTACCCCAAACCACCTCAAATGGCCCAAAATACCTAATCCAACCCAAAACTTAAAAAAAATTCAAAAAAAAAAAAAAATTAAAAATCGAACCGAACCGGGCCCGAACCGGCCGGGCCGGTTCGCCAAAACCTCGGCCCGAGCCCGAACCGCCCAGCAGCCGGGCCGGGCCGAACCGAACCGGTGGGCCCACCGGGCTCCGGGCCGGGCCGGGCCTCACAGTAACCGGGCCGGGCCGGTTCCGGGCCGGGCCGCCCGGCCCGAGTCCAGGTCTAATTAAAAGGGTCATATTTATTTATTTCTTGGCAAGTCTTGGAGACTTGGATATATTATAACTTCTTTGATGGGGTTTACTTCATTACATATTTGGTATTCTCCCATCTGACTGCTAGAAAACTATATAGTCTATATGGGTTCAATTCCCACAACAATGCCTGCAAATCCAGGGACTCATCCACAGTCCACAGAGTACAAGGTAATGGCGCAAAATTTTCTTGAAACTGAGTTTTTTTGCAACTCAGGACCAGATATCCTCTATCTATCAATTGGGGGCCAACTAAATCACTGGTGGTCTTAAGCTTTTAGCAGTTAGCGGTCCTATTGAAAAAAAAACGCAAAAAAATGAAGATCCGATTAGACAAGATGTGTTTGAAAACATTTTAGACTTGGGAGGATCATGACAATGGGATGCAAATAGGGGTGGACTCGGGTCGTGCCGCCCGGCACAGAACCGGCCCGGCCCGGCCCGATACCCGGCCTTGGGGCCGGTTCGGGCCAACCAGAACCGCCCAACTCCTGGTTCGGGCTCGGGCCTTGAAAATCTTGAACCGGCCCGGCCGGTTTGGGACAATTTTTTTTTGTTTTTTCAATTTTTTTTGTTTCTACCGGGTATGGTTAGGTGTTTTGGGGGGTTTGGGGGGTGGGGGGTGAAGGGAGGGGGCCGGGGATAATTTAGAAAAACAAAAGAAAATTAAAAAATAAAACATTGAACCGGAAACCGACCCGGCCCAAGCCGGTTCCGGTTCCCTACTTCCCAAACAAAAGCCCGGCCGGGCCCAGGCCCGAACCGGAACCGACCCAGGTCCATCCATAGATGCAAAGCTAAGTTGCTGTAGTTTTATTTCCTATGTATTGCTGTTGACTTGTATAAACTATACGGAGTATGGTATAACCCATGATGATCTTTTGTCATTCTTTTCGACAAAGTAAAATAGAATAATCGATATCTTCTGTTAGCAACAAGTACTTGAGAAAGCAATATCAACCCCCCTAATCTACCATACAAAAAAATGGTCAGAAACCAGAAAGAAAAAACTGAGGTAATCAATCATGTATGAACAAGATTCCCAACATAGTGATCCATATATATATACAAAGAAAAATCTAACGAGCGGAAGGGCGAGCAACAGATTCATCAATGGAAAGGCAATGCTCGCTTGGACCGAGATCCATTGAGCTCAAATTGAGGGAAGAATATATAGATTGTTTAGATATATCATCAGAACTGCCATCTCTTAGACCTTCTGCCCCTCTTTCAATTGCGAGTGCGTCTTGGATGTCCTTGAGGACTTCAGAGATAGAGGGCCTCATGCTCCCGTGAGGCTGCACACACATAAGGGCTTTCTCCGCAATCTTCCACATTGATTGGATGTCATATTCATTTCCCAGTGTAGGGTCAATAATCCCTTGAAGATCTCCACTCTCGATATGATGCTTTGCCTGTATATAACCAGAATGCATTTTTACTCCGTTATTTTTCAAGTCTTCGCATACATGCTAATAAAACTAGGGATGGGCAATCCAATTTAGTTTGGCCGAACAGAACTAAACTAATTCAAACCACAACTATATGCAATTTGGTTTCATTTTGGTAAAATCCAAACTGAACCAATGCTGAATAAAACCGAATTAAAAAACCATAAACCTTTAATATGATTGTAGTTGTGTAAGAAAAAGGTGAAATGAATGTGAGCCACACAAATTGTCCTAAAAAGGAAAGTTGGAAGAATTTTATGGGACGGAGGGAGCATTTTTAAAAAAGAACAAATCCAAACCAACCCAATCAAAGTGAAAAAACCAAACCAAAATGCACACCTCTATATAAAGCAACAGTTCTCCCCTCCAATCAAGGTAAAAGCAATATAATCAAGGCTTGGACATGGTGTGGTTCGGGTATGTTTTGGTTCTCTGGTGGTTTCAGTCCCAAACCGGATCTCTCCTTTTTTAATGTTCGAAATAAAAAATGAAATCAGAACCACAACTGCCATTTTTGGTACTCAAAATCCCGAACCAGACCCGGTTTCCTCCGGCTTGGCTCCCAGTTACCCCTTTTCCTGTTCCGGTTCGCACTAGAATCATAACCTTGTACAACCCTACTCTAATTTGACAAGAATACCCCTAATGTTGTTGTTAAGTACTACCTCAGTTGCCTAACTTTGATACAAGAGGAGGTGGTGTGGTTACCAAGAAAAGTGAGTTTATGTGGTTGATATTGAGTTGATAAAGTGGGAATAAAGTAAGAACGATTTAGAACCACACAAACATTACCAAATTTGGTACGGGACAATCTTAGTACTATTTAAAGCAATTTTTCTCTAGTGTCGGTTAAAAGAGACCAGAGCAAGTATATCATACTATTTGGATTTCAATCATTTTGGGTTCAAAATTGATTTCCCTTACCCATTGGACAATGTTACGGCAGTTAATACCAAACTTCTCATTTGAGATGGCTTCTTGACCAGACATGAGCTCCAGAAGGATGACCCCAAAGCTGTAAATGTCACTTTTGTCTGTCAACTGCTGGGAAATGTAGTACCTGGAGAAAAACAGTGTCGAAGAGTCAACTCGTATTGATTTAAATGGCAATATGGTTAAGCATACTGATGAAGAGAAAAATATGAACTTTAAATTTAAATTTACAAGCATATGGTTAGGTTTTTGTTCGGCTATGTTTCCTGTTCTATGTTTTAAAAATAATTTTTTAAATTCATAAAATATAATACATGTTTGGTAAGCCTGTTTTGTGCAAGTATATGATTATGAAAGTATATGAGTTTTGTGAAAAATTATACTTCCTCCATCCCTCAACTTAATAAATGTAACCTTTTTTATGTAACCCGTTAATAAATGTAACCTTTTTGCTTTTTCATGTGTACTGATATATTTGAGATTGTGTGGTTGTTACAAATTTAGAAATGAGTAAGAAAATAACTGCACGTCCTTTCCCTTAGAACGTCTAATTCTTCATCATCATCATCATTACCCCAGTGCTGCAAAGGCTCCCCCACCTTCGGTGGGGTAGGGGGGGGGGGGTCGGATGTACGCAGTCTTACCCCTGTACTAAAGCACAGAGAGACTGCTTCCGAATGACCCATAGTGAAAATCGCGTCGAAAATTGCATGGACTGACTATTGCTTCATAACAAAAAAGTGCAGACAGTTTAGTGAGCCATTTTCCTTTATTCCATCATATTCCTAAGCCAAAAAATAGATTGTCTAATTGGGAGAACAAAAAAGGAATAGGTGAAATTTATTAAGGGTCAGAGGGAGTATATGATTTATTCTTAAAAATAGTATCAAAATCGGAAACATGTTCCCGAAAAATAAAAACATCAAATTCCTATTCACAGCCACACTTTCAGAAACTGAAATGGAAACGAGGTCAAACACATCACACATGTTATCATTCTTTTCTTTTTAAAAGAAAATGAAACTCCAAAAAACATAACAAATGAGACCTTAGCCTTCAAAAACAATAGAGGGATATTTTGAAGGATGATTGCTTACTCAGGATCAAGATACCCAACTGTTCCGCGGACAATGCTTGAAACATGAGAAGTGCCATCTGCAGCAATCTTTGAGAGGCCGAAATCTGAAACCTTTGCACGCCTGTTTCCGTCTAGCAAAATGTTGCTGGTTTTCAAATCTCTGTGGATGATTGATGGGACACATCCAGTATGGAGGTACTCTATCCCTGAAATAATACAACAAAAGTTTAAAAAATCACATCGATGGAGGGAAGAAGAAGAAAACATCTTCTCTCACAAATTTGATAACCAACCTTTTGCTGCATCTTCAGCAATCTCTAGCCGTTTGACCCAGTTCATTCTTTGTTCATGCGATTTTGGGACTACCATTATGTAACGAGAAATACATTTAGATAACGTAGTCAAACCCTGAAATGAAGGTTATTAGAAGACAGAGAAATGAAACTTGAAGAATTACCATAAAGGTGTTCCTTGAGTGTCCCGCTATGCATGAACTCATAAACAAGGATGCTTCTCCCATCTTCCTGGCAATACCCATAAAATTGTACAAGATTTCTGTGATGTATCCGAGAAAGAAGAGCTACCTGTTATAACCCAAAAAAATTATCAAACAAATCAGTTTCTAAATAGCAAGACTAAGAAATAATATAACGAAAGGATATGCTTGTGTAATGATATATTCTAATTTGCAGTTTTAAACTCTAAATGTGGATAACTTTCACAAAAAAGTTGTGTTAATGGGTAAACATGTCAAGTCATAAAAGGACACATTAGAATTTAGAAAATGTAAATATTTAGTAGACTTAGTAAAATGGCCATAATTGTGGACAAATAAAAAATAAATGTGAAATTTACAAGATGGGACAGGAGTATTTGGTTTTATGTATACATTACAATGCTATATTACATGTTATTATGATCTACCAAACTACACTTCACTCTATCCCCTGCCACTACTCCAGAACAAATGGAGTAGTCGGGGGGGATGCAATCCATCCACACACCCAAAAAAAGTCCAATTGTTGGATTTATTGCATAAATGCTACTTCTTCTATGATTAGTGCTAAAGTTGTTGGGAATATTTGAGCGAGCATTCCATTATTTATAGCACCAACACGTGAAATTCTTTTTAGTCTTGATGTGCTAATCCTTGTTTTGATGCTAACAAATACTTCATCCCTTAAAGAACTTCGTAGTTTGAATAGCACACACTTTAAGGAAATAACTTTTTTCCTTGACTTCCTAAAATGTCACTTCTACTGAGGGTAAATGTTACTGAAAGTGCATTATTAACATTGTATGACACTGTACCATCATTATTACTTAAGGGGTAGCACTGTAAATTGATAGGAATTTGTCTACCAACTGAGGGAAGAGGACTTTATTTAGGGATATCCCAAAAAGAAAAGCAGAATGCTCTATAACTCTATAAGGGATAAAGGGAGGAGCAATATACAACTAACGAAGTACCGAAAAAAGATTCAGATCTTTTAAGCTAAGAAAAATATTAGGCTGGCTGGTTATGTTTTTACTTCTACCAATTTATTGATATTGAGGCTTAATTTTATTTCCGCTGCAATAATTTAAAAGGCACAAATGTTTTCTTGTCCAAGTACAATCCCTTTCTGTATCTCCCTATTAGGGACCATATTACCAAGTCTTGCCATTACGCACCACTCACCTCATTTGAAAACTCCCGCTTTCCTTGAAAAGAATTATTTGTCAGGACTTTAACAGCAATTTCCCTTCCATCTTTCAACTTTCCAAAGTATACAACGCCAAAGCCTCCTGATCCAACCTTCTTTTCAAAATCTCTGGTGGCTTCCTTAATCTCATGCAATGTAAAGCAATGTGCTGTTTCTGTGGACACACCACCCAACGAAGAGACAAATTTCCGTGGAGGTGAAACTTGTTCAAAATGGCCTAAAAAGTCATGAAGAATATAAAGTATGGTGGTCATATCAACTTATCAAGGTTTCCAACAGATTATAAAGTGATCTAATGTTATTGCTTCGTCTCACCTTTCTTGGGGTAGTGTCTCTTTCCATTCTTTATTAATATGCAAGAAGCAAGAGAAGCAGCTAGAAGAACAGCAGCTCCAACCAATGATCCGACAATAATTTTCTTATGATTCCTTCCACTGCTCCCTATATGGAGATTAATGTTTCCCGTATAGCTGAAAAATGATCACATGTGTGCTCACTTGAAGCAATAGAAATAGTGCAAAGTGACATTTCAAAAGTATAGATTTATAGTGTATAATAATGTGAGTAATGCAGTTAGTCTTTACTGCACTAATATTATGGGCCTCATTGCAAACAAGTGATTTTACTATTTTTACATTTCCCCGTTATTTGAACATTTGAAGACATGTTTTAAGTCATCGAGAAACTATTTCCACTTGCCAATTATGTCTTTGTGGATCTTAACATTTAAAATGAGAAGTGTTTATATCTTGTATGGGATGACTTGTGGTATAAAAAATGCTTTTCTCATTTAAGCACAAAGTTTTCCCCCAAAAGCTCCAATTGCTTTCTTAAATTAACACAAAAAGTGCTTTTTTAGAATTTAAAGCACCTTTTTAAATTCCTTTCCAAGCGCTTTTTTACATAAGAGTGCATTTATTCCTATAAAGAGCACTTCCAAAAACATCCCAAATGCACTCTTCTATAAAACATCTCAGTATTCTTCCGATGGGAAATTGCCTTAAATAGGAGTAAAAACGTTCTGGAACTCCAAAAAAGGACTGCTATGTTTTTCTTCCCGAAATAGAAATCGTTACTGCCATGATTGAAAAATACTGACATGTTAATGCTTAGTGCTGCAACTACTTTGGCAGTTATAACTCCAAGATGGCAGTTAATACTGCCATGTTAATCATATTTCGGGAAGAAAAACACAGCAGCCCTATTTTAGAATTCCCAAATATTTTTACTCCTATTTCAGGAATTTTCCCACTTCCTATTTAGTTGGTTTGGCTAGAAAATGTTCTTCATATTTAGTAGGTGTTAAGGGATTTGGTACAAGATCTAGTCCAAGGTTGATGATTCTAAGAACGAGAAAAATATGAATATATGGTGCCTGAAATATTAATCGACTCCCGCCCTCGGCAAGGGAGTTTGTCGGAGGTTCCACCGTACGTCAAATAAAAATTAATATTCCAAAGCTAATCTCATTATTCCAATTGATACGCCTTAAATAGGCAAAAAACAAGTTTCCTAAAACAATAATAGGAAAGAAGTAATAAAGAAGATCCTAAACTATTAATATGTATAAGGAAACCTCAATAAATAAACTAGTATTAGACTCAAAGTAGGAAACTGATTTAATTAATTAAAATAGACTCAAAGTAGGAAACTGGTTTAATTAATTAAAATACTGAGGACCACTCAAGCTAGTCCCTTCTTTGACCGCCTCTGGTAGACTTTGCCAAATCGACCCATATCATCACTCCCCCCGTTTGTTTGAGTTGAAAAAGATCCCCCGAAGGGTTGGTGCTTAAAGGCGGTCCAAAACGAAGGAGACAGTTTTAAGAACAGGTGTTCCGTGATATACCTGCACGCAGTTTATCTGCCCAGAGTTGAGCATCCCCAGTAATCTGAAAGTAGCTAATCTGACATGTGCGATGGGGGCTGTCTGTTGATGTGGAAAAAACCGTTCGCAACGCTTCAGCCAGCTTAGTGGGTCACTTGTACCATCATAGGTAGGAAAATCGAGTTTGGAATAGTGGGGCAAAATGTTATTCTCACTACTGACTCGAAGGTGGTGTTCATGAAACTCCCTATTATCACCCTGGGATCCGGAGGGGCTGTTGCTGTTGGAATCAGTCTGAGGACCTGCAGATTTACTAGTCAGGGCGGCAAGCTGTGTAGAAAAAGATGTCACGAGATCTGCAATTTTTGCCTCAAGCGACCCTTGTCGCTAGTTAATATCTGCCATGAAGGTTTTGAGTGTCTCTGCGGTGACGTGATATGGGTCTACTAGTGGCGGTCAAAGAAGGGACCAGCTTGAGTGGTCCTCAGTATTTTAATTAATTAAATCAGTTTCCTACTTTGAGTCTATTTTAATTAATTAAATCAGTTTCCTACTTTGAGCCTAATACTAGTTTATTTATTCAGGTTTCCTTATACTAGTTTAGGAGCTTGTTTATTACTTCTTTCCTATTATTGTTTTAGGAAACTTGTCTTTTGCCTATTTAAGGCGTATTAATTGGAATAATGAGATTAGCTTTGAAATATCAATTTTTATTTGGCGTACGCTGGAACCTGCGACAAACTCCTTGCCGAGGGCAGGAGTCGATTAATATTTCAGGCACCATAGATTCATATTTTTCTTGTTCTCAGAATCATCGACCTTGGACTAGATCTTGTACCAAGGCCCTTAACAATTGATATCAGAGCCATCCCCATCTTCCTGGTCCCGACACTCAGAGTGGTAGCTTATGGAGTGGTGACTTGGGCCCTGGGGGTGCCAACCGTGACCAACATAGCCGTGACCAACGAGGACATTGGTTCTTCGAAGCGTGGGGTATTGTAACGATCCCACACCGGACAAGTATGGGCTTGACCGATGCTTATAAATAAGGTGTTCCCTCCTCCTAATCGGCTGGTCTTTTGGGAGTGAGTTCTACACCTAGGGCTTATGGTATTGGTATGGGCCTAGTTTGGGCTAGGTTCGTAACAGTAGGTTTTCTCTTAGTAATGCGAGAGGTACACAGCTGGTAAGAAATTTGGTTAGACACCCTTGTGAAATTATTATAATACCCTTCACTTCATAAAGATAAGTGCAATGTAATGGTTGAGTACTGAGTAGTAACTAGTAACTTTACAGCGTGAGAGTAACTATGTGGTGACTCGATGTCTACATGCTTCTCCTTTAACCAGTAGTGTCTTCAATTAGTTGTTTATCCTAGAAAGCATATATGGTTTTCACTTTAATTATCTGTCAGAAACGATACTCACTTTAAATTCAGATCCTTATCAAGGAGAGCAGATGGAATATTCCCAGATAACATGTTGTTCTGCACGTACCTGCAACCATCAGATTGCTGAAAATTGAGCATCAATGTTGACTCGGGTGGAGCAAAAAGGTGCATGTGTATGATAGCATTGTAAGAGAAAAAGGCACAAAAGTGAATACTTTCTCCCCACCTACTGACCTAGTGTTAGTAACATACAAAGAGATTATATAAACATTTTGAAATGGGACATAACAAATATAGCGATCCTTTTAAGGGGGTGTTTGAAAGTGATTCTGCTTCTGCTTCTTTTTTAAAGCAGAAGCATAATCAGAATCAGTTTTCAGAAGCTGATCTCCCTCAGCTTCTAAAAAAACTGATTCTAGGAGTACACTAGAGCACCACAATCACTTCTGCACTTTCACCCAAACACTCCAACTTCTGCTCCCTGAAGGAGCAAAAGCAGTTTTAAGAATCAGATCCAAACACCCCCCTAACTCATCGTCATTCATGATATTTTTCATTGAAGTGAAAAACAAAAAGTATGACGATGAAATTTTTAGAATTTCATCCTATAACTCATTTGTAAGATGGTTGTGCAAGCACTCCAAGTGCTTTCACTATATATCATCTTGCGAAAGAGTTAAAAGAAGCACTTCATGCTTGATCCGATTGGTGCATAGAAAAGTACTTTAAGTTCTATACTTCATATTGCATAAACTTACTTCAAGTGCTATTACTGTGTATCATCTTACGTTGGTTGTCACAGCATCCGGTTGGTGCATAAAAAAGCACTTCAAATGATATATAGTGATGGCATAATTTCATCTTCTGCCCATGCTTCATATTTTCTAAACTTCTCATAATTAAGTTTCAAGTGCTATGAAAAACTTTTCACTGTAAGTCACACACAACTATTAGTTCATTCCCACTTCTTGTCCCTGAATTATATTTTTTCACTTTTAAGTGAAAGATTGGAATTTTTCCAAATCCAGTCCCTGTTCGTCACTTATCTGGCAAAGATATTGTAAATGTACATAAGTTTACCAGATGTGGGATCAAGAAGGACCAAAAAGAGACAAGAAATCTATAGTCGGACACCAACAGTGGGAAAATAGAAGTTGATAAGTATAAGTGGGAATGGCTAAATAGTCACCAGACCAAAAGTGGAAAACTTTCCTAAGAAAATGAAATCATTCAAACAATTTGCTCTATAATTGATCCAAGCCCAATGCCTTGCCATAATTCTTATGGTATATGAAGTTTGTGCGAAGCAGAAAGTGATAATGCATTAGACGTACAACTCTCTTAAACTTGGAAGATGTGCTATATAAGAAGGAAGCTCCCCAGTTAAGTGATTGTTCTCAAGATGCCTGCATGGAAAGAAGAAAAAAATAAGCTGCCAAGAATATAGAGGGTATCATGATATGTATAAAATGATTTACATTATCTGCAAGTTTTGGCATCCGCTAAAATCAGGTATTGGACCGGTCAGTGAATTATTATCAAGCCATCTGCAATACCAATAAAGTCAAATGATAAAAATATATAGTAGCATTACTTAAGTGCAAGAAGTGTCTAGAGGAAACGATACTTGCATTTCAGTTAAGCTTCTCAACATTGTAAATTCTGTTGGAAAATTCCCAGTCAGATTTTTCCCAGATAATTTTCTGCAAAATTACCCAGTGACAATACAATTATCATCAAGCACATAAACCTATGAAAGGAACGGCAAGAGAAAATGAGGCAAAGATTTGAAGCATATTTGGGATAACTTATTATATAAGTCACTAATGTTTTCATCATAAGTGCTTTCTCATTTAGAACTTGAAGTGCTCTTTTACGTACCAATCAGATGCTTTCTTAAAATAAGCACTGAAGGTGTTACCTTACTGTTAAAACAATGTTTTCCCATTTTCCTGCCTAATGATTTTTTTAGGTAAAAGTACTTGTCTTTATCTGAAAAGCACTTATTCCTTAAAAATAAGTCATCCCAAAGGTAACCTTAAATGTAACTTGCATTGATGTAATCCTTGGACGGGGATTAGAGTCACACTCGACCCAGGACCATGGAGCTGGCAAGCATGGATCACCACCCTCTTGGGCCCACTGTGATGATCCATACTTTGAAACAAAGCCTGTAATTGCTGGTCCTGCAACTCGTGGAAGACAACACAAAGCACATGTCATCACACGTACAGTTGAAATAAAGTAGATCTTTATATGCATAATTTTCCACTCTTTAAAACCCCCCAATGTGCCCTATTGTGCAAGCTCAAACCATTGATCATTAAAAGAAAGTGACAACTCAACATAGTTAGTTGAATGTACTCCGTCTCACATTAGATGTAGTTTTGGTCCCCAAAAAAAGTTTCACAATATTAGTCGTTTTATAACATCAAGAGTGCATCTAATTCAAATGTCTATTGCCTACCTTGTAATTCATCTGAGTTCCCGTTTAAAGTAATTTCAGACAGTTCCAAAAACAATGTTACCTATGGTGGCTAATGTATAGTACTACTGTATTACTAATTCATTTACAATACTTTAGGGTATTTAATGAGTTTCTTTAAATTTGTACTGTGTACATCATCTCTACATGACAGGTAATATTTATTGTGAAATGGAGGTAATATAATGTAGTTAGCAAATCTAAACCTTAAGCTCATAATTTGTAGAAAGTAGAAACCTAACAATTTATAAAGAAGTGACAGCTTTTTGTTGTTTACCATCCAAGGAGCCATAATTTATCTCCACATATCTGTTTATTTCCATGGCATTCAGGATGGGGCCCATTGTAGAATCAGATGTCTTCATAAATTTAAAAGACAGGACAAAGGGGAAGGACAGGTTTTCATATCCAGGCTCATACGCACGAAATTTCCCGTGTGCATTCTCTTGAACATCAACAACAGCCTTGCTGATGTCAGGATATCCCGGGAGTGCTAGCCTAAATCTCCTAGTGTCACGTGGGCCCAAATCCTCAATCTCTGCAAAATATGTATAAGCCCAGCCAAAACCAGGGAAACCGTCCAGGTTGAGGCGATACGTTAATGAACCATTCCTCCCGACCACAGCTGTCTGCAATATTTTTTGAGGAGGGTATTCGCTTGCAGACGAGGGTACAGTTATTGGATTTGTGGTTGATACTTTTTCAGTTCCATCAGCAACATCAACAAGATAATTTGCTTTCTTAATCGTGTCTGATTGCCATAGTCTATCATAAGGGTCATCCGGATACCTGGAGAGAGAAAACCAAACAAATAAGCAATTGTTGAAAGAAAAAAGGCAGTCTGGTGCACGAAGGCATCCCCTCAAGGCGAAGGTCCGGGGAAGGGTCCCACCACAAGGAAGTATAAGGGGCAAGCCTTCCCCGGTCAAATTTTGACAGGAGGCCGTGAAACTGTGACCTCTTGGTCACACAACAACACCGTAACGGGTGCGCCAAGGCTCCCCTTCCGATTGTAGAAAGCAAAAAAAGGAAGGGTTGTCTAGATCAGCCAAATAGGAGTCCTTTTGGTAGCCGGATTTGGCTTATTTTGTATATCAGCAAGACAAACAAAACAATCACAATACGTAACTTTTCACTAACTTATTTGGCTTAAATGGATTTTACAAATCACTTTTCCTCCGCAAATTATACTTAACAAACAAGGCTCCCCTTCCGATTGTAGAAAGCAAAAAAAGGAAGGGTTGTCTAGATCAGCCAAATAGGAGTCCTTTTGGTAGCCGGATTTGGCTTATTTTGTATATCAGCAAGACAAACAAAACAATCACAATACGTAACTTTTCACTAACTTATTTGGCTTAAATGGATTTTACAAATCACTTTTCCTCCGCAAATTATACTTAACAAACAAGCTCTAACTCTCTAAGTGAGTCAAACACTCAAACGCAAGATAAAAAAAAATAATCAGAATGCGTAGCTTTGACTTACTTATATGGCTACAATGGATTTTATCAAACACATTTTCTTCTTAAAAATTTAGCAAATTCAACCATTTCAGCACATAACCCTTAGTTCCTTACCAAGTTACCAAACAAGCTCTAAGTAATCACAACAAGTTGCTTTTGACTTACAGAACAAGTAAAAGAACAAAAGAAACAGAATGATCACAACGAGTAGCTTTTGACTTACTTATTGGCTAAAATAAACTTTACAAATGCTATTCCTTCCAAAAAATCCAGCAGATTCAGCCATTTCAGCCAAGAATCCTTCCAAACAAGCTTTAAGTAAGCCAAAAGCTACTAAATCCGCTGATAAGCAGAACAAACATATTATGGCTACCAAACAAAGCCTAAGGTTTCTCCCTTAAACTTTTATTTCAGAGAGCAATCTACTTCATGTAACAAATATGTATACTGCAAAACATACCTGAGAGGGGCATCACTACTGGCACCAAAATTTAGCCTTGCAGAGACACTTAGATAGTAGCTGTTTTCACTTGGAGTGAGGTACATTGAGCCATTAAGTTGTCTTAGTTCGAGTGTGGAGATGAATGGCTGTCCGGTGGTGGCATTTGATAAGCAGAAACTTGTCACTGAATCAGTGGAAAGAAATATCAACTCTTGGTTCTCGATTGTATTAGCATCAAAAATAACCACGGTAGCCCAATTGGTTGCCCCTAGAGAGATGTCAAACTTTGGGTATACATTATTGTTGTCAAAGTTACCATACAAGAAAGTTGCTCTTAAGAGATATCTCTTCCTCTTAGTTACATTAAGTGTGTAGCAATACTTTTTGTTATCTGCCGGGAAGTATCTCACTGTCTTGTATTGCATCCTTGTCTCATCTGTCACAGATACATTGGCCGTTTCTCCACTTACCATTTGAATATCGGGAGTCCATTGAAGACCAATCTCATCTGTGAAACTGTCTTTACCACCACAATCTAAACTCACAAAACCTGATTCAAAATCCAAATTTACAGATATTAGTAATTTGCAGTTTATGCAGTTGCCGTGTTTATTTTACTAATCAGTAGAATATGGAAAACCATATAGGGTCCCTTTGGAACTCGGAAGATGGTAGGGAGAGACATAAAGAGGAGAATTCAGGAGAGAAAATGTGAGGGAGAATACAACATTTGCTCAAGTTTAATAATTTTAGTTCTGATATTTGTTCAAATTTCAAACTCATTTTAGTCATCAATAACTATTACAAAAAACTAGGAAACCTAAACTGGGGAATTATTTAAAACCATTTGTAGTGTTTCACTTTTCTTTGAATTTTCCATGGTAAAACCAAACACGCAAAATATAACTTACTCCCTCTTCCCCTTTTTGTTTGAGACAGGGAGAAGTGGCACATAAGTTACGGAAAAGTGGTATTATGTGACTGATATTGAATTTGTAAGTGTGGATGATTTGAAACCACACATATGTGCCCAAATATGGTACGAGCTGAACATTAGGGCAGAGCAGAATGGGAAAATGGGACAAACATGGTGGAGCGGACAAGTAACAAGATTCTTTTTACACATCCAAACATACCCATGAGGGAGTAGTAATTTTTCCTCATTGTCATTTTACACATGTAAACACACCCATGAGCAAAAGTTCAGAGATTATTTTGTCAATGTAGTTCCAAGTAACAAGATTCGTTCACCTCATCTGGAATTTCAATCAGAAAAATCCAACCCCTAAGAAACATAATCATGTATGCCTCATGTTCACCCCAACTCTAGGATGATGTCTAACCAGTGAAAGCTAAAATTAATTCAAATAATTCTAAAATCTACTTTGAGGGTCTTCTATTAAAAGCCATAAGCAATTATAAATAAAATCAAATCAAATAAAAAGTAGAAAAAAATAAAGAGTTATGACTTCAGGAAAAAAAGATGTTTTTGTATCCAGGCAGAACGGCTTTTATCTAAAAATCAAATCTTGAATTAACTAAAAAGCAAAGAACTGTTAATATTCATGTTTGCAAAATTTGCAGAAAAGATAAAGAATCACATGAATCATAATGTGGGGATAGTGATGATACGCAAAATAGAATATCAAAAAGCATTGACAGAGTGAGTAACCTGGCATCTGAGCAGAGATGGCATCCATGAACAGATGAAGAAGAAGCAGGTAGAAAAATGTAGGGCACAATCTGATTCCCATTTCACCCTTAGTTCTTTTAGAATAGAAGTGGCACTACCCAATACATGGCGGCATGAGATTGTTTGATGGGTCAAGAAACTCTATTCCAACCAAAAAGAAGCTAAAGAAGTTGAAGTAATTGTTTTCTCTTCATTGGTAGACCACTGTTGGGATTCTGGAACTAGTCATTTAATATCGTCGAATGAAAATTGAAAAAAGGAATGTTTTTTTAAGATGTTTTTTAAGTTATTGAAGATGAGAGAGAAGAGGTGACAATTTCAGAGATGGGGTTTATCACTTTATTGTTGGAGGAATACTCGTAGACTCCTAAAAGCCGAGACAGACGCAGCAAGGAGTCTGTATTCCACCTCATTATCATCATTTCTCTTTTAGTGAAGGCCCTGTTTGGGAATTTGAACTCGTGTTTTTACCTTTTTATCATTATTCTTTGATTTTTTGTGTATCGCAAAATCATCACTTGAACCAATTTAATCAGGGATTGGTTTTGTCAAAAAAAAATCAGGGATTGGTTAATATTATTATTTTCTTCGTTTAGATAAATGCAAGCATGGGAATTTTATTTTTTGGAAATGATCCGTAAAGTCAAATAATAATAAAAAATATTTAAGTCATTTTGATGTACTCCGTATGTTATTTTTTAAAATTTGAATTGACCTGTACTATTTTACGTAGTAGTTAACTAGAGTGTTTAGGGTCTTTTTGCAAGAGTTAAAAAAAAAAGCTTCTGGGCTAGTAGCTTAAAAAAAGTTAAAATTAGCGTTTTCAGATGACAACTTCTATCTTAAAAAGTATTTCTCGACTTTTGACTGAAAACTGTTTTTACTTTTTCTATTACACAAAAAACACATATTTTACCAAACAATGTCAACTTTTACTTTTCAAAATCACTTTTTCATAAACACCATCAACTTTTAATATTCATCTTTTTTTCAAAAATCACTTCAAAAAATGTTTTTTAAAACAAAAACATTTGCAAACACTCCTTTAATGTAGGAATTTTTGCAGAAAGATGTTATTTCAAACGATACTTCTAATTCCCTACAGTTCATACGGACTATATAACACTACTTCTTATGTAGTATTCCCTCCATCCCACTATAATTGTTCCATTTTCATTTTCCGTCCACCCCACTAAATTTGTCTCATACTACCTCTGTCCCCTTAAGTTTGGGACAAAGATGTGTGGTGTGATTTTTAAGAAAAAGTAGAATTGTGTGATTGATGTTGAATTGATAAAGTGTAAATAAAGTAAGAATGAAATATAATCATTCAAATATTACCAAATATGATATGGGACGAACTTAATGGGACGAACAAAAAAAGGTAAAATGGAACAAAGTTAATGGGGCGGAGGGAGTACCATATTTGGTAATATTTGTGTGTCTCTAATTCATTTTTATTTCACTCTCACTTTGTTAATTCATTATCACATCATTTGCAATGGAGTCAAAGACTCACTTTTTGGCTTGGGAATATGAAGCAGCAGTCAGTTCATGCAACTTTCGACGCGATTTTCATCATGGGTCATCCGGAAACAGTCTTTGCCCCACCAAAGGTGGGAGCCTTTGCGGCACTGGGGTAATGATGATGATGATTTGTCAATTCATTATCAATCACATAATTTTGCTTTTTTTAAAAATCACATCACTCTCTTATGTCCCAATATTAGGGGAACGGCGGTAGTATTTCTTATTTTCTCCCTTGAAATAAATCTTTACTAAGAAATGTATTCCGTAATAGAGGAAAGTTCAAATAAAAAACAGTGTTCTAATGCAAAGAATAAATATACTTGTGAAACAAATTTTAAGTATTTACTTAAAATTGATCGCAAATAATAATATGTGAGAATATAGGGTACAATCTCTAAATATGAATCCTCTGATTCTTCACTTGCAATTTGATATGAATATAATTAAAGAATTTAATTAAAAATTAAATCTTTAATTCTTCAAAAACTTGAACGTTCTTCGGATCTTCGAATCTTCGTTCTTGAGATCTTCGAATCTTCGAACCTTCGTTCTTCGGATCTTCAAATCTTCTTGAATAAAGAATTCAGCTAGAAGGGCCTCCGGTTTTCAAGTGGCTTGATCTTCAACAAAAGGGCCGTTTTATGGCTTGATCTTCTGTTAAAGGGCCTCCCGGGATATATGGCTTGATCTTCAGTTGAATCTCGATTCAATTTTCATATGAATATCTTCAAATCTTCAAAGATTCGTTCTTCATATCTTGGAATCTTCAAAGCTTCGTTCTTCAGATCTTCGAATCTTCAAGCTTCGTTCTTCAGATCTTGGAACGTTCTTCAACTTTTTGCTTTGTTTGATCAAGAATAGATGAAATCACAAAGGATTAATCATATATTCTTGACAAAAACGTGGCTTGATCTCTTCCTCTTCTTCGGAATCCTTCAGAGCCTTTCGGGAGTTCTTCAGAACTTTGCTGCAGCGTTTCTTCGTCTGGAAGTTCTTCTCTCTTTTCTCTCAACTGAGACCCCTATTTATAGGTGTGGAGGGGGTGAAAATATGACCTAGGGTTTTGGAAATTCGTCCATACCCCTTGGGCCCTAATTAAAATGGGCTTTGGGCTCTATTTGCTTGTATTTAATAGCTAGAAAAATCAGCACTTGTTTGATGTATCTGGACAGCCTTTTTAACAAGGTTCAGAGCTATTTTTCATGCACATGGATGGTTTTCTTAACCGGATTCGTTGGCCTCTTTATCAATTGGATCATCCTGCTTATATATTGAGCCACTATTTGATAATGGGCTAAAAAATTAATAGGACCGGTCCATTCTTTTAAAGATTTAATTTATAATTAAATTAATTGGATATTTTGAATAATCCAAATTAATTGAATTAATAAATTTTATCTCAAGAGATCCATGACACTATTTCTTTCTTGATAAAGCCCAACAACCATCACGGTATCAGTCCACTGGAATCTAATGCTGGCCCAGTTGCACTTCAAAAAGACGTAATGATAATATGAATCGGCCCAAATTTTTTTCATATGTCTACAAATGCCCCCTCGAGACTTGCTTGAACGTCTTGAACAAGTGAAAAGTAAGTCTTGACCCTGACCGGCTAAATATTTATCCATGTGCTTGACAAACTTATTCCATTCGCCCATGAAGTTTATTAGACCAAATGTATTGCGGTAATATCTGTTCCGTACTATATTCACTTGGATCATTCTCAATTTTTTTTTCCCGAAGCCCAAGAATATCAAAATATCAAATCTTTGATATTGTCCTAGACTCCCAATTCAACTTGTTCAAGTATCACACGGTTAAACCGTATATTCATCAAGTATCCTCAAATTTGAGTTTAACTAGGAAGCATTAATTTGGGTCGCAACTTTTATCCAGCATCATAACAGATTTCAATTGCAACTCTAACTCTAACTCTTCAGCATCAAGTATTTATCCTCATTATAAATACGAATCATTTGGCTCCTAATTATACATCAGCCAGCAACAAAGCAAATTCCTGTCGTAAGCTTTTAACATCATCCAAGGCCAAGGAAAAATCAATCCAAAGGTAACCTTTTCATAATTTTTGAATGATTATTGTCTCTGTTTTTATTTAGTACGCAGGGACAGTTCTTTTGGAGAAGCCTAGTTCGATCCGGGGCAAAGCTTGCTTTTCTTGAAGGATCTGATAATATAGATGATATCATTCTATTATCACGTTTGCTGAGTGTGATGCCACTAGCCGGAGAGAGAGGCCACCGTTCGTTGTTGAGATTGATTTCTGAGGATGTTCTGCAGACTGGAAGCCAATGAGCAGATCATTGATGCCGATGCGATGTTGTTGCTGCAGGCTTTTGTTTGCCAATGCTTTTGTTCGCGTATGAGGACGCGGTACCCCCTGCGGGGAAGATGATCGGAGATGGGAGTTGATGAGATCGAGATGTCGCCAGAGAAGAAAGTTGTCCGAGTTCGATGTTGATTCCCGGCGAGGACAGATCTGGTTCGTTGCTGGAGAAGAAGATGCTCGTGGTGGATCAATTTGACACCTCTTCTGCAGCTTTGGTGAGAAGAAGGAGATCGATCGATGTTTCACGCGGTGCTAAATTGCTGAGTTTGCTGCCCTGCTTGTTCGAGACTTGAGGAAGACGACCGGAGAAGCCCTGCACTCTGGAGATTTCCGTCGCTGCTGCTTCTTCATTGCTGCGCTATTCACGAGAAGAAGGCGTTGAAGCTTGTGAAATTAGCCTGCGTTTGATTTCGGTGAAGGGAACGGAGTGGCGCCCTGCGATTTTGTCGCGCTGATTTCTGCGTGAGGATGACCAGGGATGGGATCTGGCTATAAATATTGGGTTTTTGGGCTAGCTTTATCAATTGGGCTCCAAATGAGCTAGAAAATAATAAGGACATCCGATTTTATACTACTTCGAGGTCTTTGATCATGGCGTCACTTATTGAAGAGGAAGGAGTTTGACCAATTGCTGGTTGTCGGTGTCACTTGGGACCCTTTGTTGGGATGACACTGATTTAAGGAATCAGGCCGATTCCCGATTGTCGGTGCCGCTTAGCCCTTTGTTGGGATGGCACCGATTTAAGGAATTAAGCTGATTTCTGATCATCGGTTGTAGGTGCCGCTTAGCCCTTTGTTGGGATAGGAGAGATTTGAAGAATTAGGTCGCTTCCTGATTGTCGATGCTGCTTAGCCCTTTGTTGGGATAGGAGAGATTTGAAGAATCAGGTCGATTTCCGATTGTCGGTGCTGCTTAGCCCTTTGTTGGGATGGCACCGATTTGAAGAATTAGGTTGATTGCCGATCGCCGGTGCTGCTTAGCCCTTTGTTGGGATGGCACCGGTTTGAAGAATCAAGCCGATTTCTAACCGTCGGTGCTGCTTAGCCCTTTGTTGGGATGGCACCGATTTGAAGAATTAAGCCGATTTCTAACCGTCGGTGCTGCTTAGCCCTTTGTTGGGATGGCGCCGATTCGAAGAATTAGGCTGATTGCCGATCGCCGGTGCTGCTTAGCCCTTTGTTGGGATGGCACCGGTTTGAAGAATCAAGCCGATTTCTAACCGTCGGTGCTGCTTAGCCCTTTGTTGGGATGGCACCGATTTGAAGAATTAGGCCGATTCCCGATTGTCGGTGCTGCTTAGCCCTTTGTTGGGATGGCACCGATTTAAGGAATTTTGTCGAAGCCATGTGAATATGAAGCCTTACTGATGCCATCCATGAGGGGCGGCCATTTCGCCGTTTATGAATGGCTGGCCATTTTGCCAGTTTGAAGGATGACCACTTTGCTGGTTTGAAGGTTGGCTACTTTGCAAGTGTGAAGACCGACCACTTCGTCAGTGTGAAGGCTAGAGTGGCGCCTCTTGATACATTT